AACATTTAAAAACTGGAAATTATAGTTAAGTTTTAGCTGTCATTATGAACAACTTTAGAGTCAAACTAACCAATAAATTTTAAACATGACAAAAATTACTAACCTTGTTACTTTAATTTGATTTTGCCCATTTATGTAGACAGGTTTCTCATTGTTATATTCATCAAACACACCCCATCGAAGATGGGCCCATTCATGGACAAACACTCTGCCTGTGGAAAAGAGAGCATTTGTTTTGAATTTCTTTTTTTCTTTTTCTAGTTTCTAAAATGTCAGGGATGGACCTTGCTAATCAGTGAAGATGTAACGTTATTTGACTATATATATTTATTCCAAGGGTTGAAGTACAATTCTTTGTTCCACTTTCCTCTTTTCCCACCCTGTTCCCATTGCCTTCTCCTTTACCCACTACCATTATAAAAGAAGCAGTGTGAAAATATGTTTAGTCCCGTAAATGCAAACCAGTGATTTACTTGTTGCACATCTATTGAAAACTAGTGAGGAGTCCTACATCCTCTGATTTCCCCAATGAAGCTGCCTAACAGGCTTCTGTTTAGCTTCATATAGGCCTACAGTTTCAGGATTGGGGGAAAAGGAAAGCAGCATATTTAAGTGCAATGGACTGAGTGGTTATGTCTCCCCAAAATTCATATGTTGAAATCCTACCCCCCAGTGTGATGGTAAGGGGTAAGAAGGGGACTTTGGGAGGTGATTAGGACATGAGGGTGGTAGAGTCCTCATAATGTAATTAGTGACCTTATAAAAGAGACCCCAAGAGCTCTTTTCCTCTTTCTGCCAGGTAAGAACATAGTGATAGTGAGAAGATGGCTCTTTATGTACCAGAAAGCGGGTTCTCATCAGACACCGAATCTGCTGGTGCATTGATCTTGGACTTCCAGACTCCAGAGCTGTGAGAAATAAATTTCTACTGTTTATAAGTCACCCAGTCCTTGGGCTGTTATAGCAGCCCAAACGGACCAAGACACCAAATAAGCAAATNTTAAAAAATGGCTGTTTAACAACTGGTTTGTAAATTTCCTAAAACTTTAACAATTGACTCTCCTGAGCTGGTTCTGTCACAGCACTGAAAGTAGGTATCATTGCCTATAGTTTACTGATGAGAAATCTGAGCTTCAGAGAGATGATTTTGCTCTTGATTACACAGACAGTCAGTGAAGGAACAAGGATTTAAAGCCTATCTGCCTACTCAATGGACTAAGCCTTTAACTATTATCTGAGTGCCCTGGAGCTTTTGAGAGTGGGTTTCTGAAAGGCGGCTAGAGTGCCAGGTAACTGAGATATGGTTTTCTGTCTACAATGACATGGAAAATACACACATCATGGAAAGGCACATTTGCTGCAAATTCATAGTTTCTTGCCCCCACCAGAGATCTTTACCAGTGAGTGGAATGTGGCTAAATAGGAGCCTTTTGTCACATGTCAGGATTTTGGAAAAAGGTCTTGGATAGAAAATATTGCAATTAGTAACAAGAAAGAAGGTTAGGAATTTTCTGTAGGTTTCATTTATCTGCATTATCTTAACTTCTGGAGCACATTCTGTATTTTTCCTCTTGCCCCCAAGAAAAGACTATGACTATTCCAAACCTTTGGCCTCCCTCTCCTTTGCCTTTACCCTCTGAAAATAAAAAAGAATTCAAAATGGATAGGAAAAAAAAATGGTGAGTGTTTTACAACTATTTTGATTCAAAACGTTACCTCTGCCATCTTACTGGACACATCCAGCACTAAACAGACCACTTTTTCGCCAGCTTGTACAAGGGAGAACATGGGAGGAGGCGGAAACTCAGTCCCATTCATGGGGAAGCTGTGATCAAAGTCAGGGGACTCTGAGATTACATCCCATGTACTTCTGAGGCTGCACATTTGGTTCTGTAGGTTTGGAGCTTCTTGGTTGTGGGTAGTTGCATTACAGAATTCAACCACCTGGAAAAAGAACAAAGCCTATCAGATAATAAAGGCTCTCCTGTCATGCTAGACATATTTCTCATTCACAAGCAATTCAAGGTAAAAGGAAAGGTAAGCTGAAACTTGAGAAACTAGAAGAACCACAGCAATGTCCTTCTTTCTTCAAGAATGACATCAAATGTACACTTAACCTTTGGCACCCTTTACTTGAAACACTTGGCACCCTTGTGGTACTGCGATCAACCTCTATTAAAGTCTATTTGCACATGGCTAACAGAGAGCAGACCATGTATATATATCTTAGTCTAAAAACAAAACAAAACAATCTCCCGCCTTCCTTAGCATGAGATTGTGTTAAAGAAAACACCCCAGGAGATGTTATCTTGTACAGCCTACTTGTTGAAATCATGTTTAATGACCACTACACCTTTATTGATCAGTCAACATATAATGATCTAGTTCAAATATTGATCTCTGTAAGAACAGGATAAGGAAAACATCGACTTAAATCTACTTCTTGATCTTTCTCCCCATTTGGAAATAGAGATATAATTCGTTTAATACTAACTCTATGTCAACACCCCTTGTAAAGGTGTGATTTGCATTGCAAAGTAGAGTTACCATCTATGCTCAGTGCCTATGTTCCTACAAAGAATAGATGCTTCCTGCTAATGGAGCCATGGGAACTTAGAGCTAGAAGGTTTTCTCAGTCCCATTTCTAATTTCATCAAAAAGGAAGCTGAAACTTCAAAATGTTAATAATTGCTTAGTAGGATGGGGAGACAGGAATCAAACCTATCTTTTGTTGTTGTTGTTGTTATTTATTTTTAACTCCTTTCTCTATGTTTCATGACTNTGGCTCCAAATCAGAAGAAACAGAGATACAAAATGAGGGAAAGGAAAGTGATGGTGATTAGAGGCTTGGGGTGCTCTACCGTACCTCAAATCCTTTCTTCAGCCCTGAGCAGATGCTGGTTTCTGCTTCAGCTGACACAGTGGCAGGTAGATATGAAACCAGCAGCTTTCGGTCATCATCATTGTTAATTTGATGTAGCTGGGCTCTGATCTCTCCTTTGCTGTTGAAACTGGCAATTCCCACAAAGGTATGAATTTCAACAATTTGCATCAAGTAAAATTCTGCTGCTTGTTGCACTCGAAGGAGTCTGTCATCCTATGGCCCAAAAAGAAAAAAAGAGAAAGGTAACAACATTTGATTGGTAGACAAAAGTAACCTAACAAGCAAATATCTCAGCAAACTCTTTAGAGATGTTGAATTGTAATTTTTTTTAGTTGCAGAGAGTGTCACAGTGCTAGAATATTGTTCAATGAACTGCAGGCTCAAAAAAGGAATGCTTTTCTGGAAGGAGGGAATTCTGTCCCCAACAAGTTGTTCATAATTACCACTTTCTAAGAACATGTATCCCCACTATTTCTCTGCTACTCAGAATTCAAATATCTATAGAACCAATTGGGACTAGATTTGTAGGTGCTTCTTTTAAAATTCAGTTTGGGCAAGAAGAAACATTGAATAGAGACCTTATGGTAAAGAGTAGCAGTCAGAGCATCTACCCTACCCTCTGTTACAATGGTCATCATAGGCTAGGCACTTTATCTGTAAAGTGGGGATAATAATATCTTTCTTATTAAAATAGAATTGCTGTGAGGATGAACTGAGACATGTGTATGACAGTACAGTTATACCTTGAAGTACTAACCGCATATAAAGTAATATTAGTGACCAGATTTGATGCTACTGATTCATTCACTATAGCCACTTGTTTTGAAGGCTGTGGAGCAGCAACCTGAGCGTCAGTCACTGCCTGTTTGGTGATAACTGTGGTCTCTATCTACAACCCAGACATCTCCTGTAACACCTGGACTTGCATTTCACCTGCTTAAAAAATATCACCATTTTAATGTCCCACAGGTATTCCAACCTCTACACACTTTGAATTCATTGCCTGCCTTTCCAACTATTATTTCTCTTACAATCTTGAGAGGTAAGATGTAGTAGAGTGAATAAAACAAGGACTTTGAATCTTACCTTCAACTTTTGCTAATTATGTGACCAGAGAGAAGTTACTTATGTTTTTAGCTTCAGTTTTCTATGGCTACCTAGTAAGCACTTAGTAAATAGTAGCTATGCTAACGCCACAGTCATCAAGTCGCC